GTCTGGGGCAGTGATGCTCTGTGTTCTTGGTGCTTAGAGGGGCAACAGCAGGAGGGCTTCTGGAGTTATGGCCCCACTAGTGGACCTCCTGAGGGCACCTGGGTTCTGGCCACTGAGTGACACAGAGTGTTGGACTGGATGGCCCATTGGCCTGATCCAACATGGCTTCTCTTATGTCCTTATGTCTGGGGCAGTGATGCTCTGTATTCCTGGTGCTTAGGGGGGCAACAGCGGGAGGGCTTCTGGAGTTCTGGCCCCACTGGTGGACCTCCTGATGGCACCTGGTCTTTTTGGCCACTGAGTGACACAGAGTGTTGGACTGGATGGCCCATTGGCCTGATCCAACATGGCTTCTCGTATGTTCGTAAAGCAAATCACAATTTGTCATATCTGGATGCCACGAAGGTCTCCAATTTATGAGGGATTAGGAAGCCCTTAATATCAAAGCCATGAAGAAGGCAAGAAGAGAAGGAGTATGCAGCCACTAGGCTTTCCAAGGCTTGGCCCTATAATGACAAACCACAGCGCGTTATTCAGCTTGTGCATAGCTGTGATGACCAATCATGGAGCAAGGTAGCGGCAGAATTAACTGATGTTTTAAAGGAAAGGAGAGAGCTGCTATTTGCATACCGATATCCTGCTCTGCTACAGCATCTTCTCTGCCAACGTGTGTTCGACCTTCCTATGGTAGGGGGAAAAAATGAGAGAGTTATTTATTCTAGTACGAAGATCAAATTACACCACATTGATACCATTTGTGGCCACAAATCAGTTTATTTTGAGTTTATTCAGTCATAAGAACATAAGATAAGCCAATGTTGGATCAGGCCAGTGGCCCATCCAGTCTAACACTCTGTGTCACACAGCAGCCAAAACCCAGGGGCCATCAGGAGGTCCACCAGCAGGGCCAGAACTCCAGAAGCCTCCCCCCACTCTTGCCCCCCCAGCACCAAGAATCACAGTATCCCTGCCCCAGACATAAGAACATGAGAGAAGCCATGTTGGATCAGGCCAATGGCCCATCCAGTCCTGCACTCTATGTCACACAGTGGCTAAAACCCAGGGGCCATCAGGAGGTCCACCAGCAGGGCCAGAACTCCAGAGGTCCTCCCACTGTTGCCCCCCAAACACCAGGAATATACCGCATCACTGACCCAGATATAAGAACATAAGAGAAGCCATGTTGGATGGATCAGGACAGTGGTCCATCCAGACTAACACTCTGTGTCACACAGTGGCCAAAACCTAGGTGCCATCAGGAGGTACACCAGTGGGGCCAGAACACCAGAAGCCCTCCCACTGTTGCCCCCCTACAAGGACCAAGAATACAGTCTGAGGATACGGAGAGGATCCTTGGGTGTTTGGGGGGCAAAGGCTGTATTGTCTGGGGCCTACTCTCTGTCTATATGACCCCTTACTCGTCCTGGATGCTTAAATCTGCTGGGGAGCGGGCTTGCTGACTGAGTCCCAAGAGACAGTTAATGGCCTCTCTGAGGGCAGTAGGTGGTTGCTATGGCACTGAAAGATGTGGTGGTCCATCCACTCCTGAAGAAATCAACCTTGTATCTAAGAGAGTTGAATAACTGACAACCAGACTCAAATATTCTATTCTCGAGTAAGAGGACTGAACGGGTCACGGCTGAACAATTTCGGGGTTTCCTGGATGAAGGGAACTACCTGGGTCTTTTTCCAGTCTGGCTTCAGGCCTACATATGGGACTGAAACAGCCTTGGTTGATGACTTGTGCCTGACAACACCTTCCCTGATGCCTGCGAAGTCCAATGTCAAGTGGGGCTTTTGCCCAGCCTGATTGGTCATTTAAGATTTGACTAGCTAGGCTTGCTAGGGTTGCTGCTAGGGTTGCCAAGTTCGGGGGGCCAGGGAAACCCCCACCCAAGAGCTATCCCCCCCAGCAAGGTTGGGGGCGCCGGGGGGGGGGGGACCGCACCCCCAAAGTACGTGACGTGCCCGGCATAGACACGTCACCCAGAGGTGACGCAATCGCGTTGGGCACGTTGCGGGGGGACGCTCTATCATCTGAGGGGAAACTCTATGGTTTCCCCTCGAATGATTGTGGCCCCGCCGCGACGTGCCTGACGTGATTGTGTCACTTCCGGGTGACGTGATTCTGGTGTGCATGCAAAGCGCGCACGCCAGGAGACTCCCAGGGACGTCCGGGACTCCCCCCGCTATTACAAAGGTAGAACTTGGCAACCCTAAATACTGCCTTGGTAGCAGCTGCCACCACAGCACGGGAGCCTTCACTGGGTGACTGAAGGTAAGTGGCGGCAGCCATTTTGTGGTCTCTTGCAGCAGCCATTTTGTGGCTACATCCACCATGCTCTGCCAGAATTCCAAAGGCTACCGTGGGCTCAGAAAAGTTGGGGACCCCTGAAATAGACTATGACTCAAAGGTCTTTATTGAAGAAACTTTGCACAAGTTTACTCTTACCCCACTTAAGTTCTCTGCGAGCCAGGCCAAAAGCAGCTTGCTAGTGTCCAGCCAACATCAAATCACGGCCATAGCAAAATGAACGAAAACCCAATACACTCAGCAGGACTCTCGTTCATCTACCATTAGCCGTCAGGACAGATCTAACCGGTAGCTGACACTTTAATACAAAACAAACTAGAGCATCTAACGGTCGATGCCAAATGATCGCCCAAGAAGTAATGGATGCTTAAGCTTAATTCGGACAGCAAAATTAACACTGCAATTAAAGCTGTCCATTTGGGAAAGGGAATGCGGATAAGTATTGAATTACCTTCAAGTGATACAAGATGATGCCCGTGCTCAGAAGATCGTCGTCGATGCCTATTAGGTGAGGAAGCTCGGAATCTAACACGACACCTATTCCTTCTTTCCTCAGAGCCAAGGTTTGTTCCTGTAAAAAAACAAAATCCGTTCAAAGATCACTTGCGGGGTTCATTTTCTCTCTCGGAGTGAGAAAGGCCTTGTTTACCCTTTGGGGTACAGCATGGCACAGAAGTACTCGGACTAAGTAGCCTCTCAGGCAGATCGGGAATTCTGAATGGACGAAAATTCCTACAGAACTCTTCTAACACACACAGCATCAGAAGGTGCGTCAAATTTGTAGAAGGTGTATGTATGTTGAAACCCAACAGATATTGTCTAGAAGAGAGGTAAGGCAACGGAACTTTCAGGGAATGCCCGTTATCTAGTGTGGCAACGTCTTATTCTGAATGCCAAACCAATAGAGTTCCTAAAAATCTTCTGGAAAACACTTGGTTTAGTCACTCCATCCCCCCCAAGAAAAACAAAGAAAGCTTGAATTTCCTAGTATCGACTATTCTCTATCCAGATACAATTTCGCCTTAAGCGTATGCCAACACTATTTTTGAGAACATTCTAAATTTGGAAACAAAAATTAGTTCCTGTGATTAGGGTTGCCAAGTCCATCTTCCACCCCCAGCGGGGGACTTTGGGGGCATTCCTGGCGTTCCTGGAGGGGGCGGGGCATCCCTGACGTGATGACATCACGTTGGGGCCGTCCGCCACCCCCCCCCACACCCACCCGTGCGTCGGATCTCCAGAAACAGCAGTTCCCTGCCCTTAAAGGAGCCGGTGTTATCCTTTTAAATGCAGGAGCTGGCGTTTCCCCTTTAAGAGCAGCCGCGTTTCCCTTTTAAGAGCACGAAGCTGGCACTCCGGGCTTGGGAGGAAACACGGGTTCCACACACTTAAAGGGAGAGAGAGGGGTGAAGGTGGGTGTTGGGGGTGGGGCTTCCCCCGCAGGCCATCTGGCCGGCGGGCAGGTAGAACCCCCCCAAAAAACCGGGGGACCCCTGGCAAATCGGGGGGGTTGGCAACCCTACCTGTGATTGATGAAAGACTAAGATTCCTTTCACAGAAAGGGAGGGGTCAGGTCTGACCATCTTGTGCAGTGTTCCCTCTAGGCTGAGTGAGTGTGAGCCAGCTCACAGTTTTTTTAGCCTCCGGCTCACACATTTTTGTCTTAGCTCAGGAAGGATGGCTCCAGAGCAAACTAATTTATGCAGTAGCCAAATCAGTTGCTCACAACTGTAATGACAGTAGCTCACAAAGTAGAATTTTTGCTCACAAAGTAGAATTTTTGCTCACAAGACTCCACAGCTTAGAGGGATCATTGATGTTGTGTGTGTAAAGTGCCAAGTCAAGTCACAGCTGACTTATGGAGACCCCTGGCAAGGGGCTTTCAGGGCAAGTGCGAAGCAGAGGTGGTTTGCCATCGCCTTCCTCTGCAGAGCCTTGCTTGGTGGTCTCCCATCCAAGTACCGATTTAATGGCGACCCATAGCAAGGGGCTTTCAAGGCAAGTGAGAAGCAGAGGTGGTTTGCCAACTGCCTTCCTCTGCAGAGCCTTCCTTGGTGGTCTCCAATCCAAAAATCAACCCTGCTTAGCTTCCAACTTATGGCAACCTCAGCAAGGGGCTTTCAAAGCAAGTGAGAAGCAGAGGTGGTTGGCCATGGCCTTCCTCTGCAGAGCCTTCCTTGGTGGTCTCCAATCCAAAAATCAACCCTGCTTAGCTTCCAACTTATGGCAACCTCAGCAAGGGGCTTTCAAAGCAAGTGAGAAGCAGAGGTGGTTGGCCATGGCCTTCCTCTGCAGAGCCTTCCTTGGTGGTCTCCCTTCCAAGCACTGACCCTACTTAGCTTCTGAGATCTGGAGAGAATGGGCTATACCACTCTGCCTTCCCTCTCCCGACCATGTCATCCTTGTAGGGGAAAAACTACTCTAAGAACACACAGATGTAGGTACGCACCACTGACCACATGAATCTGCCATATGCTGAATCAGACCACTGGCCCCATCCATGCCAATATGATCTACTCAGACTGGTCATGGTTCTCCAGGTTGTTAGGTTGAGTCTTTCACATCACCAACCACCTGATCCTTTTAATTGGAGATGCCATGCCAGGGATTGAACCTGGGACCTTCTCCATGCCAGGCAGATGCTTTGCCACTGAACCACAGATCCTCCCCACGGATGTGATACCCTTCAGGCCAGGGGTGTAAAACATGCGGCCCAGGGGCCGGATCAGGCCCTCAGAGGGCTTCTATCAGGCCCGCAAGGGACTGGCTGTCTCCTGCTTCTTCCTCCAGTTCTGCTGCTGCTGCTGCTGCTGTGTCACAGCCTGCTTTCCCAGACTCTCTCAATCGCTCAGAAGAGATAGATAGGCAAGCTTCTGCTCCCTGCCCTGGGGCTGAGGCTCCTCCCCTTCCCAGACTGCTACAACACAGACATTTTGATGCCATAATTCAGGGCAAGGCGTGTCAGTTATCAGAGACGGTTAAATAAACAAAATATTGCAAGAACGCTACTGTTTCGAGCACGTTTTTATACGACCCGGAAAATCTACAGCAACTAATTTAAAAAAACCCGTTTGTGTTTGTGTCCTTTATCAAGTATACTAGAAATAAGGCCCGTTGTGGAAATAAATACAATGAGATCTAGAAAGAGGCTCTGGGAGAGTGCTCTGGCTTTGGGCAAACAGTGTCAGTCTGCTTTTAAAACATGAACCTGGGTCCTGCACACCACCAGAATACAGCAGTCAATTATATATAAGGAGAGATGTCTCCGCTCCCTGGCATTACATTTTATGACACACGTGGCCCGGCCCGACAAAGTCCAATTCATGTCAGATCCAGCCCTCCATAACAAATGAGTTCGACACCCCTGCTTCAGGCCATAGTAATGTCCAATGAGACAGCGCCCTATCAAATTCAGCTGGAAATGCAACAGAAGCGCCAAAATAGTAATGACTGAAGAAAGTTTGCATGCAACATTAATCAAATGTACCTGCACAAATGTTTTTTCTACGTACGTTACAATGTGGAAAGGCATTCCAGGAACATAAGCACTGAAAAGCACATGGGGGGGAAATGGCTGTACATTACAGTTTATCCCATCAGCACTTTAAATTTATTGTTCCCCATAAAAATAAATCTGGCATTAAATAAAAAGTGCACTTAAGCTCATTTGCTCTGACGAAAACTGAAATACTATAGATATTGTCAGGTCAATATCATAAATCGCTACCATTTTAAACAGGATTTGACCAATACATCTTACTGGTGTAGATATACGTTGGAATTCTGGATTGTTTAAAAGGGATGATTTACTATAATCTTTCTTAAATGTTTAAGAGATTATTTGCCATGTTGCTTTTAAAAGATGCCATTTGACAATTACGGGAAATAAAAATTAAAATGATATTCAAAGACAGTTTTATCTAAGGCACATAAAAATCTGAGCGAGGGAGAAAATCAACCATAAGATGCCCTGATTCATGTGCCTCGTGTTCCTGAGAAAGACACCGGCCATATTTGGGGATGAAATTAGGAAATTAACTATTAAACGCAATTAAAATTAATGATGCTCTAGTCGTAATCATCACCTGCCTGATTAGCTCCAGGGCAAATATATTAAAAAAACAAAACAAAAAGCTGATGCTTTCCTAGCAATATATAACCCTACAGGGCTCTTTTTGTAGCAGGAACTCCTTTGCATATTAGGTGACACACCACCAGGGGTCATTTCCTGCAGGAGTGCACAGGAGTGGAGCTCCGGCAGTAAAGAGCTCAGGGGGCGGGCACATGCAACAAGCCCCACCCCCTGCTCCCAGCAGCCCTCAGTCAGAGCAAGAAGAAGCCAGGTAAGTTGCAGAGACCCCCCCGCCCCCCGGTCCAAAACAGTCCAGTGGCACCTTTAAGACCAAGTTTTATTCATGTACAAGCTCTCCCTCCTCTGCGAGGACAGATCTTCACGTTCCCCCCGCCCCCAAACAGCTAGCAATCCAAAACAGTCCAGTGGAGGCTAAGCGGTGGGCTTTGCCTTCTGACACACTTCTGGTGATGCCAGGGGGTGTGGCATATGCAAATGAGTTATGCTAATGAGCTATGCTAATGAGCTCCTGCACCTCTTTTTCTACGAAATGACCCCTGCGACACCCCTAATGTAGCCAATCCTCCAAGAGCTTACAGAGCTCTTCTCACAGGGGCTACTGGAAGCTCTTGGAGGATTGGCTACATTAGGGGTGTGTCGCCTAATATGCAAAGGAGTTCCTGCTACAAAAAGAGCCCTGCCTAAGAGTATTAAAATGTAAGGAGGAAAGTGCCCATTTTTTTCTGGGTTTCATCAACTGTACACAAGTTGCCATTTTGGAGGGGACGAAGATCAAACAAAAAGAAGACCATTCCTGAAGTCCATTTTCATGCCATAGGTTCTCGGCACCAGTCCCCCGCCCCAACACGAGTGGGGGAGCAACCGTGTTGTACGTTGGAATGTCCACTTCCTCCCGATATTTAAAAAAAGGTGATCTACTCCGCTATCTCTATCCGTTTACCCTTCTTGGTAGAGCGCCTGCCAAGAGAGGGGGGTGGGAACATGCCTCTTGCTCATCACCCGTGTTCCCTCTAAGCTGAGTTAGTGTGAGCTAGCTCACAGTTTTTTTAGCCTCTGGCTCACACATTTTTGTCTGAGCTCAAGAAGGAGGGCTCCAGAAGAGCAAACTAATTGATGCAGTAGCCAAATTGCTCGCTCACGACTTTAATGCCAGGAGCTCACCAAAGTAGAACTTTTGCTCACAAAGCTCCACAGCGTAGAGGGAGAATTGCTCATCACCTCCTTTAAGAATAAACTAGTAAAGGTAAAGGTTTCCCTTGCTCGAAAGCCAGTCGAATCCGACTCTAGGGGTGCGGTGCTCAACGCCGTTTCCAAGCCGAGGAGCCAGTGCAAATATTATTATGCAAAATGTCCCCCCTCCTACATTTTGGTACGCCGCGCAGTCCTCTTTCTTCGACTTCAGCCCCGGGACTCCATAGTCCTCCAGAAGAGATTTCTAAGGCAAGCAGGAACTTTGTTTTGTTGTTCTTGCCGCCATC